ACCCACACTCGTAGCTCCCCACGGTGTTGATGCACACGGTGCTGCGGTGGCACTTGTGCCGCATCGGGTGCCCCTCCTCCAGGCGGCACTCGTCGGTGTCCTGTATCTCGTAGGGTATGTAGTAGCACTGCGTGAGGTCCTCGCCCGAGGGCCGGACCCGGGTTACCGTCGCCTTAGCGGTAAACTTGCCCACCTTCCGGTTCTGCCTAGAATTTCGGTCCCGCAAAACAAAAACAGACATCGATCTCTTTCACATACTGGCGTAGATGGTCTGGTGTCCTTCCATGTACCTACAAAGTCTCGATCGGTGTGAGCGGCATGGTCTCCCCCCGCACTGTGAAGATTGATTAGTTTTGGGTGCCTAATCTCGCCGCATGGTTACGAAGATTGCAAAACAATGTGGCTGCGTGGTCGTGACTGGAGGGGCGTGCTTGGCGCCACTAACGGAGAGACACGTCCCCTGGTTGCGAGAAGGGGTGGATGCACGCGTTCTGATTAGAGGGGAGTCGTCGTCTGTCTCACCCTTCTCCCGTATAGTCGAAGAACATGGAGGTGACGCCATCAAGCTTGCTGTTGATGATGCCGTACGCCTTGGCCAGGAGCTCGTTGTTGCTGTCTTCCGCCTCAAGTTGAGAATATACCTGTGCCGCGAAGAAGGCGCGATTCGCTGCACATGTGACCCAACGCTCCTGGAACAAAAACTCCCTGTACCTGCTGTATCTCCTCCTGTACACAACGCGAGAGTTGTACGTGTACTTTTTACTCGAATACGGCACGCCCAGTGGGCGCGCTCTCCGCCCTGGCGTGCAACGAACGCTTTCGGGAACGGGCACGACCCTGATCAACCCGCTGGTCGGGTTTGGGAACACGACTACAGTACCCGCTGGAAAATACACAGAACCGGTACATCTGGTAGATCGTGTAGTGGCCTCGGAGGTGGGCGGCTAAGGCAGTATAAGCGGTTGTTGTTGTTGTTGTTGTTGTTGTTGTTGTTGTTGTTGTTGTTGTTGTCTTTCACATTAATAACCGTTCCGTTCTCACTACCCAAAATCTTCTTCTGTCCGCACTAGTCTTTTCACACGCGGTCGATCAGTACGCGCTCATCAATGAAATCGCGTGCCTTTCGTGGCTTGAGGAAGCGGGCCGCCGCCCACAGCTCGGCATGGGTGTTGGCATGAGCAGCGCCCAGTTATTGTTGGTTGTTGTTGTTGTTGTTGTTGGTGGTGGTGGTGTACTACAGTTGTCGTATTTCCATCCATTATGGACAGTAGATTTCGCCGCTCGGCAGGAATTGAGTCAGCCGTCATACTTCAGTCAAAAAGCCGGCTAAAGTAGACTAGCACCCACCCGTCAACGGGTGAATGCCCACTACTGCTGGCATGGCTATGTCGCTGTGTCACAACGCCGAATTATCCAGCCGCTTTCGAGCTGCCGCGAACGTGGAAGCGGAGCGGCCGGAGGGGGGGGGAGGGGGGGGGGTACTTCCCCAACAACTACAACAAATCAAGAAGAGCTTTTTTGCCGTCGCACCAGTTCGTCCTCCTCGAGCTTTAGGGTGTAGCATTCGTGCTCTTGCTGCTTCTCCTGCTGCTCCTGTCGTTGCTGTTGCTGTTGCTGTTGCTGCTGCCGCTGCCGCTGCTGCTGCTGCTGCTCCTGCACCCGCTGCTGCTGCTCCTGCACCCGCTGCTGCTGCTCCTGAACCCGCCGCTGCTGGTCCTGCTGGCGTATCAGTTTTTTACGAAGCACCAAATCCACAAGAAAGGAAACGAGGAGCACGCTATGTCAAGCTGCACGTGACCCTTCCGTCGCGTTGGTTGGGTGGGGCGAGAGCCAGATAACCCCTTGTATGCCTACGGTGGTCGTGACCCCCCCCCCTACGGTAAACCGTACACAGCAATCATCAAAATCTCAAATCGCCGACAGGAAGATGAAGCAATGGGCAAGCGTTGCCTTTCGGCCGAGCGCGGGTTGCAGCTGGGGAGAGACCAAGCCATTGCATGAGAGAACAAGCCCTGTGTGCGATGGGTGAGCCCTGCTGCACGAGCGAAACCAGGAGCAGGGCAGCGGTCTCTGCACAAACAATGGGCGCGTGATTTACGCCGAACTCTCATGATCCTCTGCTACACATCAGGTTTGCCTGCACGTACCTGGACAAGCTCTTCCTCCGTTTGCGCCGACGACAACCCATGCTCCCTGAGTACAGCTAACCCCACGATCGTGAGCAACGCGCACGAGAAGGGCTTGGGTTTCATTATGTTCTCTCCAATGATTCCTCTGCGTCTGCTCTGCAATCTACCGTGGTGCGGAGAAAGAGCGCGCGAGAGGACTCCACACAAAATCCGGAAGTTCGAAAGATGGGTACATACAGTGGTATTTTCTATTCGCGTGCCCCCTCATTCCCATCCCACAAGCGGGTGCTGCGGAGTGCGTGTGTCACAAGTCACAAGCACCCCGAGCGACGTGCAGAGGGAGGACCAACACAGCAGGCACCATGTCTTTCGGGTTCCTGACGGAGTCAGCGCTGCTTCCGGCCAAGTCGAAGGTAAGCACCTATCCGGAAATGAGGTTGCAATTCATTTACAGCAGGAGTTTACTGAACACCGAGTACCGATCGGCACTGCTCCGTGCTCTGTGCTATCTAGTTGAGATGCCAAACTTGTTCGTTCCCACCACCAACAACGCTCGTGTGTACCCTACCTGTACCCTGCTCTGTCCTCTCTGTCACGGTATCCCGTCGTTGGGTATAGCATTCGTCCTATTATACACGAGCATGTCGATTGTTGGTCCGGATCCAGACTCTACAAGTAGTCTCTGTGTGCGATGCACCGCCGAATTCAACCAGCTGATTCATACCACTGGTACCCATCACAGCAGTTGCACCGCGCGGGACCGTTGTGTTCAGAGAGTGGATTGTAGAGGTGCCGAGCTCTCCGTTATCGCTGGCGCGCAGAGAGTTACGCTGCTGAGACCATTAATCTGTCAGTGGGAAGGAAGGACCCTTCCCTCCGGTTTAAATCATTTTGCATGGAAAGGTCTTGCTTTGTCTGCCATGGGCCGACCGACGAAACCACCGTACAGCAGTAACACTGCCGTGTCGATGATAGACTTCGGCTGGACAGCAGCACAGCAGCAAGTAGTTGGTACGTAGCATCACCGCTAATGTTGTGGCCCTCTGTGAGCACGAAAGGTACCACATTGAGACACGATCATCTCCTGTGGGAATGCGTACTCAGGCAGGGCCGAAGCATCCACAACGCCTAGGCAACCTTAACCTTTTATGTAGGATGTACAGTACAAGGGGAGCATGCATCACGAAGAAAACACACGCCCGGCGTGTGCAGCAGTAGGGGATCAAACTCCGATGATGTTGTGCTGATGAAGAGAGTTGGGGGGGACCGTTGTGCGGCATTCGTCTTAGGCGTGTCAGGGCCACCAACCACTTGATGCCGCGTCCGAACTGACGGAAGTCGTTACGTGCCGTTCCCTTCCTTCCCCTCAACCTACTGGAATCGCCAGCGATGAAGTATATTCCGTTACTCCCTTCTTCTCCTCGCTCCTCGACAAGCTTTTGCTTAGACATGGGTTGTAGTGAAGGGGGGGGTCTTTCTGGCGAGCAGGGCTAGACTCACCCTCAAGGGATGACCGAAACCTTCTTGCTGCTGCGCATCCGCCGCGAGGCATGCGCGTGGTGGTGTAGTTGGGTCGGCACTGATGGGGTCAGGCGAAAAAATGTAGATGCGCGGGCCTCTGGCCGTCGGTGTAGGCAGCGATGCCCATCTCGTTTTTTGTGCGCGGAGGCAGACACCGTCAGAAGGTGGACGGGCACTATGTACACGGCCCTAGGTTTGCTAGAGGGAGCTGCATTGCCTCAGTAACCTGGCTTCGCCATCGAAGGAGGAGGGAGCAGGTGGCGACGAGCTGAACTGGGCTGGTTGAC